CCAATAGCAAGGGTTCGGTTCCATACCTCGGGTGCCGAGTTAGTAGCGGGCTTGATTGGGGGAACATTTAGAGCTTCGCTGGGGAATGCCTTGTTGGTCAAAGGGCGGCTGGGGAACTGATTGGCTCGCACGACGGATAAGGTAAAAGGGGCTGGGCTCCATGTTTTAGCTCGAGTAGAAGCCGTTGTGCTAGGCACTAGCATCAGATCCCAGCTCAAGCCATCTCAATGGCATCGGCCCAATGGTAGCACATCGATCAACTACGATCCGGCAGTTGTAGGCAATGCCCAACAGGGCATGCAAGATGTAAATGAACATGCCAATTGTCCGTGGTAATGCTTTGTTCCATGTGGAAAGAGAGGGTTCTCTCGTAGAGTGTTCTAGTTCACCCATCTCTGTACCTTCTTTGAAAAATGACGATGCCTTGTTCTACCAGGCATGCCCCAATGCAGCGACTGTGTCCGCCAGCCAACTCCGCATATGTACCCAAGCCATCTCTACGATATAAAGAACATTTCTCTTTGGTCTGTGTGTCAGCATGGGTCGCTGAATCTTTGGTAAGGCTGAGTCAAAGAGAGCAACGGGTGGTACCAGCAGCCACACCATTACTCCACTCAAAAAATAGCAGCAGCATCATCTTCACGAACGCCTCAATGCAGCCAAAGACTATTTTTCGAAACAAGCATCATCAATCACAAGATGTAGACGAGTGTCAGGGGGGCGCCTGTCGCAATGGTTACAAGAACTGTATATACTCTTTTATTTAAATGCAACCTGGCAATACAAGCCGTCGTCTAATCTCTAGATGCCTGACTCAATGGGCTGATATAAATGCGGGCATCAAAGAATACGCGTAGCGCGTTGGAAATTCAGACGAGCCAAGGCAAAAGATCAGTAACATTAGATGCGTCTGTTGTAAACAAACAAGAGTGATTGGGGAAGCAGACCAATTAGGGCTTTTCGCCTGAATTTCTGCCTTGCCCACAACGCTCTCTTCCCTCTGCCAGCTGGCGGGCTCACGCTGATTCCCCCCTCCTCGACACCAACCCTCAGGGACTCTTCCTCTCTCCTCCACCCCCAAAACAACTTGACAAATTCATCTATCTCCGCACCCAATTCACTCCGCCTCGTGCTGATAATCCTCATTAAAGAGGCGTGCACGTGATTTAACTCATCTTTCTTTTCCTAATATTGAGCTTGGACTCTGAGTCTTTATTCCTTCCATCCTTCTTCCATCATCACCACAACTCGATACATGCTAGTGATCTCATCAAGCATCATCAAGCATTCTGCACCTTTCACAGATTAGCAAAGCACTTCTATCAAAGCCATCGGCAACTCTTCAAGCTCTTGCACCTACTCCATCTCTAGAGTGGTCCCAAGTCGCGAGTTGTTTGCCTCCAACTCTCTCCTCTTTTGCAGGCAGAAATCCATCTCAGTCATCAATTTCAGAGGCTAGCATCTCAAGGAATGACCAAAAACATCGAGAAAGAATCTCTCTAGAAGTCCTCGGGTCAACTATCTCAACATGCCTAACTTTGGCGAGGTATGCTCCCCCCTTGACCACTCATCTCCGCCATCGCAATACTAACTTCAAAAGTCTACCATCCCAAAATATGGATGGAGTAAGCCGACAATCATCCAAATCCCTACTGCTTATCAGCAATACGTAGAAAGGAATCAATCTCGCGAGGATCCCTTCGCTGCTTGTGCTAGGAATGAAATTCCGCCCCCTGGTGGCTCCCCTTATGATAACCAGGATACTCAACCCTATGTTCTGGAACATCCATCTCGCTCCAAATGGAGCATGGGACGCAACCTTACTCATCCTAAGCCACCTACCAAAGCGGATCGCGATGAAACACGCTCTGAGTGGGAGACTGTCGTTGGCGATGACGAAGGTGACAGCCAAATGGCCAATGCACCGACCGAAGGGGTGACATTGAAGAGTCTGGGTCTCGTCCCTGAGTCTGACGACGGCGCGGATGATGATGATTCCAAAGATGGCGATGCCCGAGATATCAAGGGCAAAGGAAAGAAGCAATCCTTCTCGAGACCTGGCACTCCATTTGATGCATTCGGCTTTTCCAACAGCCCAGAAATGCCTGAGCCACGATCTCTTAGAATGGACATGGAGGCGAGCACCCACCCATCTGTCGTCTACTGCGGGCATACTGGATTCGTCAGACAGCCTGTCCATGGTGGCCCAAGCCAGAGTGCAGGCCCATCTCGCGCAAGGAACGGACTCGGTGCCTTCCCCATCAACTCCAAGACTTCGAGCGACGAGAGTACCGATCGTTTCAAATACGACGGAGAGGCTTACTCGACCTTTTTGCAGCCTTCCAGCACGAGGGAAACCAAAACCTCAAAGCGTCGACCTGCAGGCATGTTCGAAGACGAAGGTTTCACTCTACGAACCAAAGTACAACAAGGACGAAATGACACCACTTTCTACAATCCGACCGCCGTTCAGTCGACCTAGAAGGTCAATGACGAGGTGCGAATTCCCGTTGATAGGGCTCAGAAGGCTCGTTACCAACCCTACGCCCAGCATGACTCTGAGGCCGTCGTCGAAGAAGATGATGAGTGCTGGCCGCGAGTTTGCAACGACGCTGGCACAGAGGCTGATTGGCAAACTGTTACCACCGGACCAGTTTGCAAGATGCAAAATCAATCTGATCTCAACCTCATCAAGGGTACTGGCAGCAGCCTTGCAGATGTCTCCGATATTATGGAGGAGCAACCCGACCCTGTTGAGCACCGCAGAGCTCCTGGTACAATCTCGCACCAACGCAATCGATCCATCCATCGTGCTGAGGGATTCTTCACCGAAGACCCCGCATGGACTACTCCTCGCATCAGAAATGCTCGTGGAGTTCAAAATGCTGATCGTCGTCGTCAGCAAGTCTTTGGAGAGACTACGCGTCCCGGTGCCCGGAAATTGTCGAATCCTTTTCAGACTCCTCCAGACTGGAAAAATTCACCCCGAGTCATAGAGTTAGACGACAGTCCTGATAAAGATGAAGATAAATATTCGAAGCAAACTGTCCAAGGACGGACGATTCCTCCTCCCCTGACACGTAACGACTCTACCGAGACTGTTTGGCCGGCAGTCCCTCGTCGTAACGAAACGGTGAACGAGTTCGACCAGGCTTTCTGCGAAACTCAAATTGGTGATTCGACTCTACCGAGTGATGATTCCGCCAACGTGTTCTCTCGTCTGCCGTTCGATTTAATCGACCTGGAAGAAGCTGCCAAATGCTACGGCTCTCAGAGATATCGCAACGCGGAAGATGCTAATGGGTTTGCTGAGCGGGCAAGACTCGGACCTCTCTGGTCTGGCAGCTCTCCTGAGGCCGGTCCATCCTCGTCTGGTACTTACCACCTCGGTGGCTCTGGAAATCCTTCTGTGGAACGCCCCTCTACCGCGGTGTTTCGCGATCAAGTGACTCGTGGCCGTCCCACTGGTAAGTTGGCCCTTGAGTAAAGAGAAATAAAAGATAATCTTGCTAACACTTGGCGGCTCCAGTTGAGTTTGACTTCGTTGACAACACCCCAACCCCATCGTCAGCCATCCTAGGCTCGCTCAGATCGAGATTGTTTAATCCCCGACCAAAGCCAGCTCAAGAAAGCCGTTTTGGACATTTCCGAGCTGCAGCTGCCTTGGGAGCTAAATGCCTTCGAATCAAGGCTCCTCCTCCTGAAACTGAGAATGATCAAGAATGGACTGCCAGAAATGCAACGGGAGGCGTGCTCACCCCCTCTGAGGCCGACTTGATTGAATCCGCCCGAGGAGAGATCATGGAACGTCGCCGATGCCCTGAAGAAACGGAGCGCAAGCGCAGAATCTTGTTCATTTGCATCATGGCCTCCTCTATTGTTTTCCCACTCATTGGCCTGCTTGCTTTGATCGGCAGATTCGACTCCACCGTTTGCTGGTATGCCCTTGGTGAGACGCAGGGCTTCAGCAAAGAGCAACGCGGCATGCTCTTGCAGCAGCTCCTGGTCGAGATCTTTGTCTACACGATTGTCATTACCTTTATGACTCTTCATTTTTCAGGCAAAATCTAAGTGCAGAAATGATCATTTCGGATCTTCTTTTTTTTTCTTCTTCTTTCAGGCCTCATCTCACAGCATACGAGACTATGATCTCAAGCTTTTCTTCTTTTTCGGGCCATATCTCACGACAGACATGATGATACTGTCGTCCTCTTTCGTTTTTCAAGGCCTCATCTTACAGCACGCAAGACAATCATCTCGTTTTCGGGCCATTTTTCACAGCAGACACGATGATAATGTTGTGCACGCTCTTTCGTTTTTCGGGCCTCATCTCACAGCAGACAAAATGGCAATGTCGTACTTCTTTCGTTTTCACAGGGCGCATACTATATCAGACAAGATGACGACATTTATCTTGCGCTTTTTCGTTCTTCAGGCTACATTCTACAGCAGACAAGATGAACGCTTTTGAGCGCATCTCATAGGAGACACGACGATCATACTATGCTTGCTCTTTTCAGAAGCTTCGCCTCGCGGCAGACATGGTCATACTATGCTTGTTCGGTTTTCTTTTTCAGGGAAATTGCCATTTCTTGCTTGGGTTTCTAGGCTAAAGAGGATTTTTGCTTTTTAAATACCGGTGGTCGGTTGGAGGGTAAAAGAGTTCTGCTCAGGATTCAGGTCATACTTGACGAGATAAGGAGAAAATCTCTAGGAACCAAACGTTTAGTCAATGTTGTTATGTAGGCAAACCAAATTGATCTCATTTGCAATAATATGATGGCGATAATTTGTAGGCGTGTTCTTAATTGCGAGCGATATGAAGCAATACCACACGAGCGTCACGGAAAGATGAAAGACTCCAGGATTTTACAATTTATTTAGCCAAGACCTAGGACTGAAGCTCACATTTTCCAACTCTTTTCGGCACGAAGATCAAGCCCATAAATGCCCAATGCCATCGGCTCTTACTGCGTGCTAACATAGATTCCGTTGGCTAGCTATTTCTTGCTGCCGCCTCCGGACTGCGAAGTGGAGTTTCCACTGGGCGAAGTGTATGTGGAGCTTCCGGCGCCGTTGTTATAGTAGGTGCTTCCATTAGAGTTGGAGTAATAGTAGGAGCCGTCCCTGGTCTTCAAGTCAGACACGGACATCAGTGGCGATCTAGAAGGGATAGATATTACTGGTTGGAATAGTGGTAGGAGTTGGAGTTGGAAGCGCCGCTACCGTAGTCACGAGCGCAATAGTGGTTGCCCTTGAAGAATCTAGTCAGCGAAGAACATTCCGAAAGAAAAAACTGGAGCTTTCGGGATTGGGTACCTGGCTATTGGTGCCGGAGCTCTTGTAAGTGTAGTCAGGCATGTTGTTGAGTGATTGTGGACAGTTCAAGACTAGAATGGGATTGTGGATGGGGAATGGAGGAGGAATGTGGAAAAGAGAGTAAGAAGTTGCGAAGCCATGGCCATGTGGGAAAAGGGCGGTCAGCCCCTCGGATAAACCACTCTCAGTGAATCAATTAGCTTCAAGACAAGTTGCGTTGGTTCAACAAGGTGTTGGTTCAACAAGGTGTTGGTTCAACAAGGTGTTGGTTCCTCTGCATAAGGTAAGACATTAGGCCCGAGGCTCGCGCCTTTGTCGAGGAGAGCGGGGTCGAAAGAACATGGAAGCTTCTTAATGCTTTGATGCTGGGGAAGTTCTAGATGGCGGAACGAATTGAGCATTGGATTTGTTCTTGGGAGGGCTAATGCCGACTGGTGTAAGATATGGCCAGACACATTTTAAGGTTTTTGATCGCGATTCCGGCTTTCAATCATCGAACTTCCGAAACCACTCTGCCGTACATATTCCAACCAACAGGCCAAGGAGGGAGTGGCCAAGGAAGAAGCTCGGGATTGATAAGCACAAGTTGCCAAGCAGTCTAATGATCAATACAAAGCAGATGGGAATTCCCTGAGACTACCAACTATTAGGAAAATAGACGGACAAAGTTGCCTCAACCCAGATGCCCAGTTTTCAAGCTCATCCTCCTAGCTGGGATCTAAGATCGGGCAGTGTCAAGTTAGGAGCCGCCTAGGTGTTGTTTTTGGAGGGGCTAAACCCATGATGTCACGCCACACGCCTTTTTGTGTGCAGTTGGCCCCTCCATGCCCCATAATTGATTGTACAGAGGGAAACTTTGGGCGCGATGTTACAAATCGACTCGTCGATGGGATTTTCAAGGGGAAAAGACTTGATGCATAGATCAATACGAAGGATACGAAGTATATAAACTCGCTGTCTGCTGCTTGTCTCGATAGTAATAATTCAGATAATTTAATTCAAACTTGTCTGATCTCAAAACAAATAACAGAAGCCTTACCGTTCTATATCATACCTATTGTAATACCCTGCACCGCCATCCATACCACACATACACCATGGTTGTTAAAGTCTTTGTGTATGCATTTCCCCCGCACTAATCAACTCTTATTGCTTTTTCAATCTCCATGCTTTGTAGCGCTAACTCGAATGAAATTACAGCACCGGTGCTACTGGTTACGTTGGAGGCACAGCCTTTGACTACATTTACAACACTCACAAGGACAATGAATACACTCTCCTTGTTCGCAACGAGGCTCGCGCCCAGGCCGTAAAGGCAAAGTACCCAACAGCCAAGTTTGTCTACGGCTCTCTTGAGGATGTCGATATCATTGAACAGGCCGCTTCAGAAGCCGACGTTGTTGTCCGTAAGTTGTGAAAAACAAAGAAACAAGAGTGATCTTTGGATATGGAGCTCACAACGCAATCTAGACACCGCAGACTCAGCCGACCACATCGCTAGTGCTCAAGCAATTGCCAAGGGCCTGGAGAAGAGCCACAGTGCCGAAAAGCCTGGATACTGGCTACACCTCTCTGGAACGGGCATCTTGACCTGGTACGATCTCGTCAACGGCAGAGAAGGACAGCCTCCTCTTCCCGAGCAGAAGTATCACGACATCAACGACATTGAGCGCATCAAGACTTTGGATGATCGAGCCCCCCACAGACTCATTGACAAGATTGTCATCGGTGCCAATTCCGATGCTGTCAAGATTGCCATCCTCTGCCCGCCTCTCATCTACGGCAAGGGTTCTGGTGCTGGCAACACGCAGACCATCCAGATCCCCACCCTCGTGGACATGACTCTGAGCGAGGGATTCGCACCTGTTGTTGGAGATGGCAAGAATGAGTGGGATTACGTCCACATTGACGACCTGGGCGATCTGTTTCTCAAGCTCTTCAACGCTACTCAGGATCCCTCAAAGAGCTCCAACCCCGAGATCTTTGGTGCCAATGGCTACTTTTACTGCCCTTACGGCACGCTGAATTTCACAAAGATTGCCGAGCGGGCTGCGGAGGAAATCAAGAAGCAGGGATATTTCGCAGATGTGCCGCTCAAGAGGGTGACTTTTGCTGAGCAGAAGAAGCTCAAGGGTTACCACCCAGTAGCGGAAACTCTTGGCCACAACTCCAAGGGCGTGGCTGAGAGAGCTTCCAAGTATCTCGGCTGGGCGCCCAAGGAGAGAACCAGTGTGGAGGATGATGTTGCCGAGGTGGTGAGCCAGAGGGCAAAGCAATTGGGATTGTAGAAGAGGTTGACTGTCTGTTGTTTAGTTGTCTAGAAGACAACATGGTTGTAAAGAAGCTTGGAGACTCAAGAGCATGATATAACGAATAGACTCAGTACATATATAAACTAGATTGATGCATCTACGCCGTATATAAAATCTCGGTAGCATAACTCGGGGTTCTTCGTCAACATCTCGCCCCAGCAACGCCGTCAATGGCGAAAAACCACCGCCCCGTGAAAAATTTCCTTGGGCATGGCCAAGTGATTGGCTGCTGACCTTGTACCCTCATCATGTCCCAGATCATTGGTGGCTCAGCCTCTCAAGCGCGAAAGAAAATTTCAACGAGAGCCTTTCCTAAGTAGGTCTAGCGCGATAAGGGACCTACGGTAAAACTTATCGCTTGCCCCACCTTGCATGCACATTTGCTTGCTGTGGAAAAAAAAAAAAAAAGTTCGCAGCAAAAAGTAAAGGCGGCAGAAATTCTTTGGCGGCCGGGCTCTGAAAATTTGGCGGGAAGTATTTCTTGCAAACCAACCCCACGTTTGCTCTCTTTTTTTTCCCTTTCCACCATATCCATCTCCTCCTTCCTATCAGCCTTCACGTCAGTTTGAAGGTTCTTTTTTCTTCTTCTTATCCTTCATATCCCTAAAAAAAAAATGGCGGACGAAGTTTATGACGGTGCCGTCGGCATCGATCTGGGTGAGTTGCACACAAAACTGATTTTTTTGCTTCTCGTCGATATGCCCCTCATCCAGGTTGCTGGCAAACCGACGAGCGAATTGCGGGAGTATCAGAGGGAAACCATCCTCTCTTCTCTCTTCAATGCAATCATAAATCATCTATCTAAGTCTTTAACTCTTCGAAACTAACATAATCTCTTCTTCAAGGTACCACCTACTCTTGCGTTGCCACCTACGAGGGTAACAATGTCGAGATCATTGCCAACGAGCAGGGTTCCTTCACCACCCCCTCCTTCGTTTCCTTCACGGACAAGGAGCGTCTCATTGGTGAGGCCGCCAAGAACAATGCTGCCATGAACCCCATCAACACCGTCTTCGATGCCAAGTGAGTATACTTTTCGCCATCTGCAAATTACTCTGCGAGGGTTTGGGGGCTGACAAAAATTTTCACTTCAAGGCGTCTGATCGGCCGTCGCTTCGATGACCCCACCGTCAAGAAGGATATCGAGTCTTGGCCCTTCAAGGTCATTGACGATGCTGGCAACCCCAAGATCGAGGTTGAGTACCTCGGCGAGAAGAAGAGCTTCTCCGCCCAGGAGATCTCCTCCATGGTCCTCCTCAAGGTACGCTTCTTCTCTACATTCGCCCAGTGACATCTCTGAGGCAAGAAAATTTTATACTGTGGAACCAATTTCTAACATAACAAACTACAGATGAAGGAGATTGCTGAGACCAAGCTCGGCAAGAAGGTTGAGAAGGCTGTCATCACTGTCCCTGCCTACTTCAACGACAACCAGCGTCAGGCTACCAAGGATGCTGGTGCCATTGCTGGCCTCAACGTCCTCCGTATCATCAACGAGCCTACCGCTGCTGCTATCGCCTACGGTCTGGGTGCTGGTAAGACTGACAAGGAGCGCAACGTCCTGATCTACGATCTTGGTGGTGGTACTTTCGATGTCTCCCTGCTCAACATCCAGGGTGGTGTCTTCACCGTCAAGGCTACCGCTGGTGACACCCACTTGGGTGGCCAGGACTTTGACACCAACCTGTTGGACCACTGCAAGAAGGAGTTCACTCGCAAGAGCAAGAAGGACCCCAGCAACGACCCCCGTGCTCTCCGAAGACTCCGCACTGCTTGCGAGCGTGCCAAGCGTACCCTCTCCAGCGGTGCCCAGGCCACCATTGAGATTGACTCTCTCTTCGAGGGTGAGGATTTCACCATGACCATCACCCGTGCTCGTTTCGAGGAGCTCAACGCCAAGGCCTTTGCTGGCACTCTCGAGCCTGTTGCCCAGGTCCTCAAGGATGCCGCTATCGACAAGAGCGCTGTCGAGGAGATTGTCCTGGTCGGTGGTTCTACCCGTATCCCCAAGATCCAGAAGCTTCTGTCCGAGTTCTTCGACGGCAAGAAGCTCGAGAAGAGCATCAACCCCGATGAGGCCGTTGCCTACGGTGCTGCCGTCCAGGCCGGTATCCTCTCCGGAAAGGCCACCTCCGCCGAGACCGCCGACCTCCTCCTGCTCGATGTTGTTCCCCTGTCCCTGGGTGTCGCCATGGAGGGTAACATCTTCGCTCCCGTCGTTCCCCGTGGACAAACGGTGCCCACCCTTAAAAAGTAGTAAAAAATCTTTCCGTGTGTTCGTTGTTTCTGATTGCTAACATTCAATAGGCGAACTTTCACCACCGTTGCCGACAACCAGCAGACCGTTCAGTTCCCCGTCTTCCAGGGTGAGCGTGTCAACTGCGAGGACAACACCTCTCTGGGAGAGTTCACTCTTGCTCCTATCCCTCCTATGCGCGCTGGCGAGGCTGTCCTTGAGGTCGTCTTCGAGGTTGACGCCAACGGTATTCTCAAGGTCACCGCCACTGAGAAGTCCTCTGGCCGCAGTGCCAACATCACCATCTCCAACTCTGTCGGCAAGCTGTCTACCGGCGAGATTGAGAAGATGATCAGCGATGCTGAGGCTTTCAAGTCCAACGATGAGGCTTTCAGCAAGCGTTTCGAGGCTAAGCAGCAGCTCGAGTCCTACATTGGCCGTGTTGAGGAGATTGTCTCTGACCCTACCCTGTCCCTCAAGCTCAAGCGTGGCCAGAAGGAGAAGATTGAGTCCACCATCAGCGACGCCATGGCCGCTCTCGAGCTTGGCGACAGCACCGCTGAGGACCTCAAGAAGCAGGAGCTCGCCCTCAAGCGCCTTGTCACCAAGGCCATGTCCTCCCGATAAATGCATCAATCGGCGAGTGATGATGGGATAAAAAAGCGGGATGAAGTGGGATTCCGGGAGTTGGGTGTGGAAAACAAAAAATTTGGGCGACTGGTAGCATAAGAATCGCTCACTGGTCCTTAGCGCCTTGGGAAGAGCGCTATCATGGGAGGAATATCAACCTCCTATTTCCTTGTTTCATATTTTTCTCCAAATCTGTGTCCATTCAATTGAGAAGATACCGAGGCATCTGAAGAGTTTTTTTTTTGCATTTTCACTCTCCTCGACTTCTTGCATGGGTGCAATAATGACATGCCAAAATAGCTGGGGGGTTCATGAAAAGAATGACGACGATGCTGCTGCACATTGGGAAGAACCCATTTGTGTGAGGCACGAACGATATGTGGACTACGCATAGACTCGGTAGAATGGAAAATACGGATTAAAACCGTTAAACTTGATTGATTGTGCCATCATGCTTTTTACGTGACGTTGTCTTTCGTGTAATCGACGCCGGCGAACAGATCCAGCATCGCTATCTAATTGTGATCCAGGGATGTGTTGGCTAACACTTCAAGTTGGCCATCCAGCGTGCCATATCCCAACTTTATTATTAATATTGGTTTTAGTAGATATAAGAAACAACTACTGATGGATAGTTGGTGATATTAAAAGGAAGTAGCAGAAGTAGTAGATGTAGATAATAGCAGCAGGGATCTAGTAGTCAATGGTACTCGATGGTCGTCGATGGTCGTCGATGGTAGTCAATGGCAGTCAACGGTAATCAACGGCAGTCAATGGCAGTCAACGATAGTCGATGGTAGTTAATGGTAGTAGATAGTAGTAGCAGAGAGTAAATAATACTAGAAGAAGGTAGCAATAGTAGATAATAGTAATAGAGAGTAGATGATAGTAGCAGAGAGTAAATGGTAGTAGATGGTAGTAGTAGAGAGTAGATGATAGTCTCCGACTTGCTGTTTCTTCTGCTTTTTTATTTCGTTGTCTTGCTTCTTAATCAAGTCCAATTTGTTCAATAGGCAGCGGCGGGACGCGGTTAAAGGTACTCTGGTGTTGTCGGATCGCGCCATTTGCTTGCCTTCTCTACAGTTCAGTGAAAATTGAAACTGGTTTGGCAGAGGAGAAGAGTGAGTGCATGTAAAAAGAGTGTAGAGGCGCTGGCGTTCGGGCGGACGAAGGCTATGTTGCTGAAACTCGATGGGTTGCGAGAATGGCTTGTTGAGTAAGAACAAAGGGCAATGAGAGTAGGATAAAGAGGAAAGAAAAGAGTGTGAATGATGCAGGTGCGAGGATCAAAATTTATGCTTCGGCAGAACAGCCAAACGAGCGGTGAGGGCGGCAGCTGCCATAACCTATTGAACTGAAAGGAAACGAGAGAGAGAGGCTTGTTGCCGACCGACTGTTGATTGATATGATGATAGAATTAAGTTGCTGCCAGAGGGCTAGTATGACGGCGACCTTTAATACTAGGTACGCTCGTCTCGTGACCAGGTAACACCTTCCTTCTAACATCATCTACTATCGCTACCTTCTTCTAGTATTATCTACTCTCTGCTATTACCATCTACTATAACTACTCTCTGCTACTATTATCTATTAGGGGAAACTGTCACCGGCTTAAATTTGAACCTATGATTTGTTTAATAATGCTAACGGTGACAGTGTCACCCCTGTGCCTCATATACTAAGTTCCAACTCCACGAGTTTTTTCCCATTGCCTATTGCCACCAAAAAAATATATCTTCAACCCCAAGTGTGGGATTACGAAAGCGACGTTACTTGTCGTTGGTTTGGCGGCGTGATATGCCAATGCTGACTACCTACTGATATCATCACCCTGCCTCATATGATTCCACATAGCTGCCCCCAAGAAAAGAGCAGGATCTCCATATTCATGCCATTGCAAGAGGAATCCTGATCATGCCTGATGTCGAAAAACAATTTCGACAAGCGTCCTCACTCCCACACGTTAGGCCACTCCCCAGCCTTTGGAAATTCCCATACATCAAAGATATAATTGGCGCCATCACGAACCTGGTCCCGAGCCTCGCGAATGATCAGTTCCAGCGTCTAAAGAACACCCTGATGTCGTAAAATATTCTTTATTCTCGCTGTAATAACCGCTTCATTGTGGCCACAGCCCAATTTTCTCTCACCACAATAGCAGCCTCTCTCCTATCCACGGCAGACTCTCTTGCCGCGACAGCGGATTCTCTGGCTTTGACGGCAATTTCTCGATCTCTGAGAGCATTTTCGAATGCTGATATGTCTATTTACTCGTTTTACTGGTTGGCTGCCGGCATCTCTTGCTGTAACGTCGAAATATGTCCTCGCGTATAGCCCAGCACCGCTCGCCATCTTCTTCCATGCTTTACTGCGATTCCTGAGTTTCCTGACGATCGGGTTCATCGTGGTAGGAGCGATAGTTCTCAGTTTGATCGTCCACTTGGAGAGAGCCGAACGCCGATAGCATGGCTTTCAGAAAAACACCCTGTTGTACGCCGGTATCTAGTATTTGTGGAAAGAGAGCCGGAAAAAAAAAAACGAATTTTGCCCATGTGGGCTCATTCATTAGCTTTTCATAGAGGGGATGATGCTCAAGGATAGACACGGGAGGGCCCCTTTTCACATATGATGATGACTCGATCAAGCTCAAGTATTCATCCTGGTCTTCTTTAGTCATGTTTGTCGCCTGCTTCTAATAGGCAACAATGACGCGAACACCATATATGTAATAGATTCCCACTTTCTTCCGGCTGACTCTATTGATTTCGATCTGTAGAGGAGGCAGTTGGGGGGTTGGGACATGGGTTATTGTGTGGTAAAAGGTGGACCGGAGGCGCCATCGCGTGGTCGTTGATTTGCTTGCTTCGGCGTGGTTTTCTTCCGTGGGATCTTTTGTTCTGGCCGTCTTCGGTGCGGTCTTCGCTGATACAACGGCGGTTAACAGAGTATTTGAAGAGTGTAACACAATATAAACAAGTTCCAAAGGCGGGGGGATGTTGGCATATCTTGATGGAAGCCGAGAGGGGTTGAGGAAGAAAGAAAAGAGGGAGAGCGAGAGGAAGGAAAGAGAGAGCTTTATAGACGAAAGGAAGGCGGTGTATTATCACGTGAAACAATTCCAACCTGTGAAATCAGGTCAGTTAATTGTCTATGCCTTCAAGTAAGCGTGAAAACTGTAAAAGCAACTGGGAACAGCTGAAAGAAGAACCTCCCTCTTTCTTTACTTACTGTAATAGAATGCCAACACTAAAGGGCATGAATGAATCTCTCTCTAGTAATGAGCTTTTTTACCGCGTATCGCTTGCTTGTAATATACCCAAGGTGTTACGTTTTATTGTCTTTTTTGTTTGTGTGTGGATCTGTAGCAGATATCGCGAAGTTACGCCATGGTGTTGAGACGCCTTACCGACCCTCTGTGCCGCGCCTCGGATATCACCCGACTGTAAAGCGTTCCAAAGGAATATACATATAGATCCATTACGTACAATTGACTCAGGGAGTAGATATTCAGAACCACAAGTTGGCTATCTAGTACCCTAACGACTGCGTGAGGCTCAAGTGTCAGAACAGGATGAAGAAAAGTCTGTCTATTAAATAGCCCGTATATGCCCAGTTTCTTGAACGTTCCTCTATTATCTGCTACTACTACTACCTTCCTCTAGTATCAGCTACTATTGCTAATTTTCTCTAGTAGCTGCTACGATGGCTATATTTCTCTAGTGGTTGCTCCTATGGCTATATTATGAACATGAGCTACCACAAATACATACCTAACAAGTACAAAACTTACTTCAAATCATGAATTCGTCTAATCAGAAATGTTCCGAATCCCATGAACGGGCACCCACAGGGCGGTAATCTCCCCCCCTTGGCTAAATAATCAACGCCAAACAAGGGAGAGCTCGGGAGGGGGACCCAACACGGAGCACAAAGACGGTTGTTTGCCTAATGCGCGAGACGAGATGAATGGATCTACGTGTCTGTGTCTCCTCCCGCTGCCGATATGCGTTTGTCTCTTGTGCTGATTTGACCAGGAGAAAAGAATGTCTGACCCGAGCCTTTTTATTACGTAGAGGGGCTGGTGTCCAGTCGGTTAACCCTGTGTGACTCAGGGCGAGCGAGACATGCAGCAATCACGGGTGATAGGACATCTGAGGCGGTCTCTCACATTACCCCCTTGTTTAAAACTCGCCTTGGCATCCTCTTTGTGGCCACGCCTTTTCTTCTTCTTTTTCTTCTTCTTTCGGATCATTAAGCTTGGCTGTTGGGATATTCTCTACGTGAAGAAAGAGATTATTTTTTGCATTCGTCATGACGCCTCCCGAGCGCCCGCGCGGCCAGGAGCATATCCCGGACTACCCAAAGGCCTGGATATGGATGCGCGTATTCCAGATCGTCACCAGTCTCGTCGTTCTCTTCCTCTCCATCCATGCCTTGGAAGAATTCCACGTCCCGACCGGCCTTCAGGTCGTCATGATTGTCATAGTAAAAAGCTTCCGCATCCTCGATCACCCAGTTCTCTGCAGAAATTCTAACACTTCATTTCCCACAGTCTGCTTCCACCGTTGGCGTCTCTATCCTGCTCATCATCGCCCAATTCGCTTCTCCCCGAATCTTCAGATACTGGACGCCTCTCATTTCTGACTGCGCAGTCTTTGTTGCCTGGGCCGTCTCTGCTCCGCTCTTGATTGAACAGGTATCTGATCTCGTGGCCAAGCGAGGCACTGTCCATGGGAGTGGCCATAATCCTGTTGGGCACCGACATGATGGCTCGAATCCCATCCCGACGAACCACGTCGATACCCTTTATGCTATAGGCGCTATGGGATGTCTAGAGATGTAAGTTTGCTCGCTATGCTCGACCCAAATTCCTCTTGGAAATTGCGTGTATGGTTATGGGATGCTAACGTTTATATAAAATAAAAATAGTGGTCTCTTCTTTTTGTCCTGGGTCGTTGACTCCATTGTCATTGACCGCCACCGCAAAGCTGGCCTCCCTTGCAAGCCACTCAAAAAAAGGGGTTCCATCGCCGAGGTATCCCAAACCAGATCAATGAAAGTTTCGCCCCCCATGAAGCCTCGAACCAAGAAACCACGTAGGGGGTTGAGCGCAATATTCGGCTTCGGGTCAGACGGTGGTGCGGGAGGAGGCGGAGGAGGATACGATGGTGGATGTGATGGCGGCTGATGTGGTTGATCATCTCGCTACTGGTGAGACACGCGGGTTGTTCATGGCGTCGAATAAGCAAATGGCTGATTAATAGGGTTCCAAAGCTCCAAATTGGCATTCGGGTGAGCTGAGATTGAGACGATCAAGCAGTATGGGCACCTACTTACACATACTAAGCTTCACGTACTCTGTCATCTAGCATTTTTAGTAAAAGCAAATTAACTGATTATATCAAATACTGGAGAAATATAGCCCTCGTAGCAGCTACTAGAGAAAACTAGCAAAAGCGGCAGATACTAGAGGAACGTAGTAATAGTAGCAGATGCTCGAGGAACCATGTATATACGGGCTATCTAATAGGCGGAGGTTAACGCCCTGTGGGTGCCCGTTCATGAGATTCGGAATATTTTGATCAGACGAATTTATGACTTAAAGTAAGTTTTATACTTGTTAGGTATACAAGTATGTATTTGTGGTAGCTCATGTTTATTTGTTAGCCGCCTAGATTCTATTCTCTACCAGTGGCAAATTGGTCTATGTCTTTGTTTTTTTATCGATCAAATGATGCCCGTGTATGTCTCTTCCTAGGCTCCATCTCTATCACATCAACATGCTGTCTAGAACTTGTACACCTGCTCAGCGGTGTAGCCAAGGTCCTTCAGAGCACCAGTAAGCTCGCCCTGGTCCTTGGGGCTAACCTTGTTGCCGGAGATGGCCTTCATCAATCCAGGGGGGCCGCAAACGAAGACCTTGATGTTGTCGCTCTTGGGCTCGGGGAGAACCTGCTTCAGCAGGTCCTTGGTGATGAAGCCGCCGCCGCCGACCCAATCCTTGGGGGCCTTATCCAAGGTGTAGAATGCGCGGAAGCGCTGCGGGTAAGTGTTCTCGAGCTCGTCAAACTTGCTCTTCAGCAGAATGTCCTCCTTGGTGACGTTGCCGAAGATGAGGGTAACCTTGGTCTTGTCGTTGGGGTTCTTGAAAATGGCTCGCACAAGCTGGTACATGGGGGTGATACCAGTGCCACCAGCAATGAGGGCAATGTGGTCGTGCTTGTTCTCAGACCAGGGGTACTTGGGGAGAGGGCCCTTGATGGCAAGCTCCTCGCCAACCTTGAGGCCGTGGATGTGGGTGCTCATGGGTCCATCAGGGTACTTCTTGACCAAGAGGTCGATGAAGCCCCTGTCATCTTACGTTGAGATTGACTGTCAGTATTTTCGTTATAAGAAGAGGGCAGATCTTTACTTACCCTCATCACTGACGGGGGTATAAGGACGGAGAGTTGCCTTCTCAGCATCGGGGGCCTTGAACTTGGTCAGGATGGCGCTGGCAATGTGCAGGCCAGAAACCTGGTCCTTCTCCGGCAGCTCAAATCGAACTCTCTTGGTGTTGTGGTTCACATCCTCGACCTCTGAGACCTTCAAGGACAGCCAGCCCTGGTCACCACCGGTAAACGCCGCCTTGGGAGCAGCGCCAACGACCTCCTTGACCTTGCTCTCAGCCTTTGAGCCGCTGAGGAAGTAGTAGGCACCACCAGCGACACCAACAGCGCCAGCGCCATAGAGGAGAGTGTTTGAGCTGCCCTTGGCACCAGACTCGGTGGCATAGCGGCGCGCATGCTGCAAGAATGGTGAGTCTCAATTAGCCCGTCTGCAGCGGCAATCTGGGTTGACTCGGACTGAGCATATGGAGTTGTCGGCTCTTCAAACGTACCATCTTGAGCGGCTGAGCCGCACGGAAAGCTGTTCTGGCAAACATTCTGAATTCTAAGAAGTCTCTCAACAGCGATTGAGGCTTGTAGAGAGGAATTGGTTCCAGAAATCGTCGAGGAAGGGATTGGATGAGATAAACAGCAAACTGCCAAAAAGTCCGTCAGCCACCAAGATTGCCGAGCGTTAGACGTGCAATGAATGACGGCATTCGCCACGTGATTGGCCCGTGGCCGCTGTCCACTTTAAATACAATGTCCAAATCGCCATTTATTTCCGAGGGGCTGCTATGACGAATTATCGAGCCGAATTGCAGTGCTGGATTGGTAATGCTCCCCAGTGCTTGGTAAGTCGAGAAGGCGCTATTGATACTGTTTGATTTTGTGGTGTTGATCTGCGATCAGATGCCATTCTTCTCCTTGCATCTGTCCATCTGCCAGCACGATCGAAAATCAACGTGGCGTTGGCTGCCAGCCACCAGGAACCAGGAACAAAATCAATGGATGCATGTAAATAATCAATTAATAGATAAACGTAGCTCAGTTCAAATGGTTTGGCCTAGTATTTGAATAAGACCATTACAGTGCTGAAAACCTGCTTTGCAGTGGGAAATGTCCGGTTTTTGTGATTCTTCTTGAATCTAGCAAATGCCTCCTCAAGTAGACCCAAGAACTTGCGCTACAGCCCAGTGAGGAATTGCTTCCCATATCAGGTATCTTCGTCGAGGATTGCCAGGTCGTCCACCTCCTCAATTCCATCGATACGGCCGTTCTTATTATCACAAAAGCTCTCACTGATAGTCTCCAAGTCTCCTCGCACTTCCTAGGGTAAGCTATCTAAGCTCGGGAGTACAAACACCACTACACCACTCAGAGAGGAAATATAAAGCCACTCCTAAATAATCCCTTTGGGCCAAATAGTTTTCATTTTATTACATCTAACAACTCAATCCGGTCCCATGTAATTCACTCGCGGTGTTATCAAACATCCATCCATCATGGAAAGTAGAGCCAAGCCAGGCCCAGCCAAAATACAAAACGATGCCCTGCCCCCTTGAGTCGTAGGAATTATCATCCAAATCATCGTGCTGCCCCAAATCGCTCTCTTTTCCCGCTTCGGTTGAACCTTACCTATGATAGCCAGAGACTGGCGAGTCTCTCCCCACTCGTAAAAGAGAAGGGATGCCCTTTCTCTGTTGTCGTCTTTACTTTTTTTCTTTGCCATCCAAGATACACCAGGCCTCCCTTTGTAACTCCATTACGGCAGCCATCGCAAGCGAGGGCTAGATTGGCAGCTTCTCTGCCAATGTTATGCCGCTTTTCAGTTTGGTGTAAATCCGATTCCATGCGTGGGTTGCTCTAACACGTCCCATGTCCTTTATTTCTCTTTCACGATGAAAATACATGAAAAAAATCAGAGAATAAACGTTGTAAATCCGGCTTGAGGGCTGAATTCCGGTCCCCTTTGGCAAGCCATGCTAGGGATTGCTCATCACCGCTCCGTCTCCGCTATCTCATTCGACGCCTGCGTATCCGTAGATTTCACGGTGGACTCTTCTTGCGCCGTAGGCGAATCTCCTTCGGTTTTGCTTCCCGCGTCCTGGCTTGCTCTTCTTTGCGCTTCAGACTCTTGAAGTTGGGTTAATGTTGGTGTGCTGATTTGGCTTCCGCCTCTCTGTCCATGATAGTGAACAACTTGAGGCGGGGCTTGGCCAGCTTGGATGCCAAGCTGCTCCGTGGGATAAGGGTTGAGGTCCTTGCTCGAGGTTGAAAACATAGACACAACTGGCTGGTGATATCCGTTGGTTGAAGTGCTAGGAGTGGGAGTGTGGCCGTACTGGCTGCCACTCTCTGTCTGGGTAGGAGTGACGGCATCACTAGGAGACCCAGATGGATCGACGAGGGCGCCGGTCAGACTGTTCATGCCTCCTTCAATGTCCCGGAGTAGTCGAACGTATTCTTCAGGAACCAAGCCGCTTTCTTGCGTCTTTGGATCCTCTGCAACCAACCAGCCCTGGCCGTGGCGATATGACACCCAAATGATTTGGCCTTCCACCAATGGTAGCTCGTTCTCGTTCTCTCGCTCAAAATCAAACAGAGCCACGGCCTTACCATGAAACTCTTCGTCGGGAGATGTGATTGTGAACTGATAGTCTCGTGAATAGCGCGACTGATCTCCTTCAAGGCCCCCTGGCGAGGATGAGCTGCTCGAGTGATCCGAATCATAGCCATCGATATCATGTCTCTGCGAATACTGGTATGCATGGCTATGATGCGCCTGATCGGGCGGGTAGGTGACCAGTTCACCGCCGGGTCCGTTCGCTTCGCCTCCGTGGCTCACGTAGTACCGCTCACTTCCATCTCCGCCAATGCCCAAGTAGTAGCTCTGGGTGTCATCATAGCTGGAGCTAATGATTGCAGACTGGCCCCTGTCGGGATCGCGACCAGTGCGCCCCCTACCAGTATGGAGAGTAGCCGAAGTTGATTTGTGCTTTCGATGCCTCGTGGAAACCACTGGGCTCTGTAAATCTTCATCTTCGCTGTATGGAGGGCCGTCGCCAAATTGGATCGGCGGTAGATCGTGGGCCCGGTTGAAGGGGTCCGGAGTCCATGAATCCCACGGCATCTTCTGGTCCCACGAGACTGACGGCTCGGAAAGCCTCCTGCTCTCGCTCATTGGCGTCGTCAGGCCAGACGGCGGGCCAGAAGGCTCAGGCGGCGGGCCGTAGTGCATCGGGTGCATGACGGGATATGCGAAGTCGCGCACCAGCGTGTACGCCAAGCTCGAGGGGAACATGGGGAACACGTGCGACTGAGGCCGCGATCGGGTGGGGAGCGATCCGGCAATCGAGTATTGCGACAGTCTGTTCTTGGACGCATACGAGAGCGGGCGGGACAATGTGCTGTGGCGGTTCGAGTTCGAGGTCGAAGTCAGAGGGGCAGAGACAGAGTCGATTGAGTCCGACACGTCCACCGGGGACGCTGTTGCTGGGGGCGAGTTCATCGACATTGTTGCGGTCGCGGTCATCCCTCCCAGATCAGTCTAACTCTGGGTGTGATGCTGCCAGATTGGAAGAATTCAGCGCAGGTTGACGGCACTCGCCAGCTCCACGCCTCGGCTCGTGAATAAGCCAACTTCAGCCGCCGGCAGGCTAGCACGCCTCTATCCAGATTGTTCCAGCGCACGTCGAACGGTTCAGGGTTGGCGATGTCTGGGGGAGCGTCGGTTTGCTTCTGATATGCAGCGCAAGCAGTGTGAGTTTCGGTCAGAGCGATCGGCCTTGCGGAGGGGAGGTGGGAGACTCAGAAAACCCTAATCTGAGACAAGCGGTCGCCAGTGTGTCAGGGCAGGGTTTGTTGCAGAAGAGGCTCGAGGGAGGCTAGCGGTGATTCTGAAGGGATGCTGGCTCTGGTCTGGGCAACGGTGAGGTGACCCCCTGCGCTGCGGGTTTGGGTTTGGGTTTGGGTTTGGACGCTGGAGGTTCTTGATCGAGATTCAAAATGCGAGAAGATGGCGGGAGTGCGGGAGACGACAAGGCTGTCCCCCAAGTTGCAAGTTTAGTTGTCCAGTCCAGTGGTAGAATGGATCAGCTTCAATGTACTGCGCCGGTACAAGTACTGGCGTCTGTTAGTGGCGAACCGCTGTCAAAGGCCGGCCTGTTGGTTGATGCAATTCGATGGGAGGGCCTGGAGCCAGCGCGTCACGCCCTAATTCTACTGGCTGGGCTGCAAATAGCCAGCGAGTCAGCGCCTGGAGACCGATCCAATGGCTTCAACGGATGCTCCCTACGAAGAATGTGTATATCGACGTCTGGTGCTTGTCTGAGCGGCTGACGGGGCTGGCTGAGGTAGATGGATCCGGTAGTGCCAGATTGAATGAGCGGCAACCAAAGTTGGATATGGCTTGTTGCGCTGTCTTTCATGCAGGTAATACTCCGTCTCAGGTCTAAGTCGACGTTGGCTGCGGGAGGCGGGGTGATGAGGAGAACGAAAGACGAGACACACACTTAAGGGAGTGTTATCTCTGGTTGGTTTTAATAATAGTAAAGAGTCATTACGAATAATCCAGTACATGGATTTTCATACCGTACGCCTCAAAGCACATGCAGCTGCTTGGCGTGCGTCGAGGTTGACTTGTGTGTACTGGCTCTGTTATACGTTCCATGTGTCTTATGCCCAAACGGTGGGGGGTCCAGCTCTCGCATATATCTTACATTACTCTGCCGAGAGAAGGCAATGGGATTTCGATGAGGTATTTCAGTTAGATTAAACCATCACACGGAAGAGAAATGCGAAATCAGTTCATCATTATGCAGGACCAACTACTTTGTAATCCATACTACCCCATCTGACCGCGCGAGTCCTACCTGGTGGACGAAGCAATATTAAGGTACTTGTACCTACTCGTATACCCTCTTCGCATGAGCTACCAGAACCAGCATTTATGTACCTCTCTGCTGCCGTCACAGATCACTGCGCTAGCATTGCGTCAATATGTACCTTATTCTCAAGCATGACGGATTACAGCCAAAGCCGTGCAAACCGCGAGCCTGGGTTTGCAACCAGGACCCCACATGGGGGCTCTGAACCCCAACATGGCCCAGGTTCATACGAGCAGAGTTAGGATCAGAGGCAATTTCGTTTCCGTCAGAGTGTTAGCTCGGGCGGATTTCCCGTCTCAGTTCTGCAGCGCTCGCTGGCCGAGAGAAAGTCGGCATGGGCTGCCTGTACTTCATACGATGTCATGAAGTTGACGGAACGCGGCACTTTATTCGAGGTGAACATGATGCGCTTGAGGTTGTACTAGAAGCTCTCGCTCAGAACAGATGATACAGCGCTGTAGCATACGAGAATACTTGAATACTGTCTCCGCATATGAGGACACAAGTACTAAAACGCTACTGTACTCCGTACATGTTATTGCTTCACCAGGATCCACGATGCCATCACATGCATGTGGCTAGCGCGTACGCAGAACAGATGCATGATGCGTGATCTCTTGCCCAGACTGGACAAAAGGATAGATTAAAATAAAATGAATAAGCCGGAATGTAATGATAATCCTAGAAGCTCGAGATACAAGAAACGCAAGACATCATAACAAACCGAGTCTCATTTCCCATCAAGTCTCTGGGCAAAATGCTGCCTTTTAATAGCAACATGAGAACATGAGAGACGCTTCTATTTTTGGAGACTGGCGGGAGACAGGGTTTGTCAAGGCCAGGCGCTGATTGGAGGAGATGCAAGCGTCGTTTGTTTCAGGTTATGCGCGTGTCTACAGGCCAATCACAGGGCTGCAACGGGTTGCCGTGGGGTAGCCGCCCGACGAACCAAATTTCATGGGCATGCCAACTCAAAACCAAGATTTCGTGCATCTATAGAGTATAGTACTTCAAGTTACTGGAAAGAGGCGCAAGTTTTTGTACTCCGAGGTTGTATTTCGGCGCCGACATACATATTGTTGTTCCGAGCTCCGTGGAGGCTGCTGGGAATCTTATCGGGGACTTTCCTTTGCTATATCTGAAACTGGTAGCGGTCCTTGAATGGTACAGGCACAGGCGCTAAAATCTTGAGGCTTGGAGCAGCTCAAAGTACGAAGTACCTGAGCACATGGCCGCATTACCTAATACGACCTATTTGCGCTTAGCCTACTTTCGATTTTACCCGATGTTTATCCATTCCTCGCGTATAGCTCCACCCTCGAGCTTTTCCCTTCCACCTCCACGCTTTGGCGAGAGCCTCAATATTACTTCAGCTTGAGCGAAATTGACGAGCCCCAGCGCCGCACACAGCTTGCATTGGTCAATGGCTACTACTTGATGCGTGCAGTCAGGTACCTGTGACGCTTTGTCCAAAGGTAGGAAACTTGAATCCCAATCTTCCCCCTCTTCCATGATGAATCTTTTATTGGAGCTGTCTGAGCTATTGTGCTCTGATGAAAAATTTTTAATTTACTTAATATACGATTCTAGCTGATGAAGAGACTCATCCCGTCTAATGTAATGCCTGTCAAGGTTTTGATCGATTGCTGACGCTGTTTGATCAGGTACAGGTTAACTCAACTCACCGCCTGGAGCTTGAATAATGCTACAGCTGCCGTCCGGGAGCACTCGCGTTACCTCCTCTCCTGGATAACTGCCCAACATGGAGACTGCGAACGGTACAGCGGCGGCCCAGAATGGGTCGCCAAATGAGAACGGGGACTACAAGCTCAAATTCTGCACTGTCTGCGCCAGCAACAACAACAGGTTCGTCTTGTCATACGAGGGTCCCATATTACCATGTTGCTAATTTTGAACCTAGATCCATGGAAGCTCATCTCCGACTCTCCCAAGCCAACTATCCTGTGATATCTTTTGGCACGGGCTCTCTCGTGCGGCTACCGGGCCCGACCATCACCCAGCCGAACGTGTATCAGTTCAACAAGACATCATACGATAGCATGTACAAGGAGCTGGAGGCTAAAGATCCTAGGCTATACCGTAACAATGGTATATTGAACATGCTAGGAAGAAATAGAGGCGTGAAATGGGGCCCCGAACGCTGGCAAGACTGGCCCGTCGGGGTACCCAGATTGCAGCACACTAGTGATAGAGGCAGCGAGGGCACTGAAGGCGGGGTTGTCGACGTAGTTTTTACCTGTGAGGAGCGATGCTGGGATGCCGTCATTGACGATCTCCTCAATCGCGGCTCGCCATTGAACCGGCCGGTACACGTGATCAACATTGAAATCAAAGATAACCATGAGGAAGCCCATATCGGCGGGCAGGGCATCCTTGATCTCGCCAACTCCCTCAATGCCGCTGCCGCAGAAGAACGAGGCGCCATAGGGCCGGCCGCCTTTGACAGTGGAAGTGCGGCTGCTCGCGCCAGCTTTGACGAGCGAGTGCCGGAGATTATTGCCGCCTGGCAGGAACGCTGGCCCAATCTCCCATCGACTTGGACTCTGGCGTGGTTTTGAGTGAAGACGGGATATCTATCGTTGCGTGCCTTTTTATCATCTACTAGTATGTTGCTCATGACGACCAAAGTCGTCTTAAATTTGGCGTGGCGTTCCGGCGATTGGTAGAAAGTAGTTGCTTCATTGTTGTTTGTTCCGTACGAGAACTGCCTTAGGATATCAGATCGAGAAGACACCGGCTGGGCAGGATGTTACACCTGCAACCCATCTATGACTATATGGTTCCAAATCACTTCTAATAAACATTGGCCAATGCTACATGTTGGCATCGATCCCCAGGGCTTTTATCTTCTAGCTACGATTGCAACTAGCTTTTACTCACATCATTGACCCGATACCCGTCGTATTGCATAATAGTGATCACAAGCTTGCCTCATCATCTACTCAACTGGACAAATACATGCCCTATGAACACCCGAGGTGAAGACAAGGCTTTTCTGTTTTCGATAATAGCAAATACTAGAAGAAAGTAGCAGATAGTAGAAGAAGATAGCGAGACTAGAAGAACATCCATAGCGAGAGGAGCAGATATTCAAGGAACTGCCTACCCAGGTATGTACTTACCTAGGTACTACATGTTGTTTTGCGAAATGGCCGACGGCGAGAAATGTGGCGTTGATCCTCGTATATGCACCAACCCGCGTCTAGCCCGAGTGGCTTGCAGTCCTGTTGGGTGGCCGGCAACCGGATCTGCCAATCGACATCGTCCAATGCAA